GTTCTGCTGTAAAGATCTGTCCTGTGTTGTCTTGTTCAAAACATGCAGGCAGCACGGGTGCTGGCTACATACAAGACCTTCAGAGGCAGATACAGCCGGGTGCAAAAGCTGTCTCTGTTCTACACTGGTCCTGTGTTCCTGGAAAAGTACCTTAAACTTTCTGAGTTTCTCACAGAAACTCAGTTTAAGTACCTCAGTTTAAGTACCTTAAACTTTCTGAGTCACAGTTTCTTTTTACGTAAAATGGGGATCATAATACACACTTCAACGAGTTGGAATGAGAGTCAAAGGAAATAATGTGCCATGCAATGCACAGTGTCTGGTCTAAAAAAACACTCCCCAAATGGTATCTCTTGGGTGCACATTAAATGCATTGTCTGAGAGTAAATGAGCTCATATGTTGGATGACAAAAATCAGGATCCAAAAAGGTTTCACCAGGCTGAACTCAAGGACCAAATTTAATAGGATGGCATTTAACAAGGATAAATGTAAAAGTACTGCAATTAAATCTGAATAGCAAACTGCAAAAATACCCAGGGCTTATCAACAGCACACCTGAAAAAAGGCTTGGGAGCAGCACCGATTCTGTTCATTAAGGGTCAATGGTGTGAGGGGCTGCCCGAAGGCAAATGCTTCTTTGGCAGCACAAAAGCAAACACACTGTCTGGAACAAAGGAGGACAGAAGGCCTGTTCCCTCTACCCCACTCTGATTCTGGACCTTAACAGCTGGTAATAATCTGGGCTTTTTCCAAAAAGATACACAATTAGGAAAGTGAGGAGACACATCTTCCATCCAATCACAAAACAGGAGAGGCAAGAGAAGCCCAGGGAGGCTCGAGATGTGTGTCCACAGACGTTTGAAAAGCAGTTATGTGCGTGATGGATTAGTCCCCTTGTGATTGCGAATTTCCAGCTCCTTCTCTACTGAAAGTTCTCAGGAGAGAACAAGGGTGATGCATGGGAGTCACAGAAAGGCAGATTGTTACACACTATATAAAGAAGATACATCCATTAGCACTGTCCCCAAATGTGGAAGGAGGGAGTTTCCCATCATCAGAAGTATCCAGGCAGAGGTGAAGGTTGTACACAGTGAAATCTGTGTTCCGTAGAGCAGAGCTCAAACTGAAATCATAAAATCTTGTAACTCTGCATAAATGCACTTTTTCTCTAGAGAGAAGTTTCATAGCCCTTTTCACATCCTATATGGAACCTGAGATTCCACCCCCAAAAAGATGAAGATGAACCGAGTGAGAGTATTATAGCTTTCAACATGTATTAAACATTTGCTGTCTGCTACTGGCTAGTAGCAGGGGACACAGAGATGGATAAGATATTGTCTCGATCTTTGCAAAGGGAAATTTGGAGTTTGGTGCACCCTCCTAAACAAACAAGTGTAATAAAAAAGATTCCTTATCTGTGCTGTGATAGAGAAAGTTCTGAAGTAGAACAACAAGGCAGAGTGACCCATTCTTTCTGGGAGGAAGCCCCTTCGGACTTGAGATTTGAGGACTCTGTGACAGACAGCAGTGAAAGGACTGTGGCCACCTTCACCACTCTGGAGCAATTATACTCATGGGCTCACCAAGAACTCCTGGAGGATGCAGATTTAGCAAAACTGCAGACATCCTGACAGTCCCCAGCAAGGCTTTGAGAATCACAAATACCCAGACCTGACCTTTCCTCCAAGACCCTGTCCCACTTGTCCATGCCTGAGCAGGGCCACTAGGATGTCCTAAAATGAAGTGTCGTGAAATCTGTAGGAAAATGCTTTTGATCAGTTCATGAAAACCCAAATCACCAGCTGATGGTGCCTGTGCCCACACCCACATTAAACTGCCAACCTGCTTTACATTTATTTACCCACCATGTAGTGCCTGCTTTATTAGGCTAATAAATTGGAGGCAGTAATATCCACCCATCAAATCCTACCTGACTTCCAGGGCCTGGCTTTGCTCCACATTCCTCAGAGATCTCCCCAGGGATTCTACCCACTGAGAGCTTTATTCTGTGAAGCCCTGAGGCTCCTACTGTGTGTCCTTCTGTTAGGCACCTACTACTTCCAGTTTGTACTGTTATTAGCTGAATTCTGTGAGCACATTTTGCTTAGTTTCAGACTAGATGTGATCTTGCCTGACAATATCATTAACTGCTGCTGAGTGAGACCCCCTCAAAGCACTGGATTATCTGTGTGAGATTCAGGCACATGTGAGCCACTGGCCAGATAAAGAGTCACAGTCCAGTCCTTGAGTCTTTTCTGAAAACCTTTCAGAGCCACGAGGAGCCAAATCTGCGAAGCCTTGCTTCCCTTTGGCCCGTGGGGGTCCTTCAGCCTCCATGACAAGTAGAGCTGGAGACAGCGATGAATCTTGGGGGGTTCTAACTTGGGTTTAGAATTGTGGTTTGGAGGGTTTTCAGCAGCCTAAAGGCTCTGTGCAGCACTACTGTCAACCAGCACTTAGCACCCTAAATAGACCTCCACGACCAAGTGGAAAGTTTGGGGCTGACTGTGGCATAGCATCACCGGTGGGTTAAAATAACAGCTTATTAATTTATGTGAGAGACGTGAGAACCAGCTTTCAAACTGTCAGAGACCCATCTGCCATGGCCAAGAGTGTCCTCTTCACCTGCCTGCAAGGGTTTCCCAATCACTGATTAGATGAGGAAACAGTGGAGTTCGACACAATCAAGACCCACAGCTATGCACCCAAACGTAGGCTGGCACGGCTGTACTTGCAGCACACTTGGAGGCTGAGGCAGCAGGACTGAAAGTTTGAGCCCAGTCTGAGGAACTTAGTCACTTAGCAGGACTTTGTCTCAAAATTTAAAAATTTTAAAAGACAGTAGGGGAGGTAGCTCAGTGCAAAGGCCTTGAGATCAGTTCCCAGCCCCAATACCAATGAACAACACAGCTGCTCTAATGGCAAAGTGCCTGGCATCTTGAGACCATGTGACTCACAAGGGTTGTAACTGCCTCTGAGAGGAACTCAGAGGATCTGACTCAAAACCCCATGCCTGGTTCCCTGAACTGAACATCCTAGCTGTTGAACACCCCCTAGAGGGTGCTGTGCTGGACTGAAAGAGTCTTGGGAGGTTTCTGGGTATGAGCCCAGATTTTCCACAGGAGCTTCTCATTGACACTTAACCATTTAAAAAAGTTAGAATTCTTTAAGTCCCAAAGAGACAGATGACAGAATTTTTTTTCACACTCACTGACCAAATCTAAGCATTTCCTAAGCCCAAATGTCAGGTGGTTTTTCCTTCTGCCCTTCCCATGCCTTAGACCATGTTATTTGCAAATAAACCAAATTTTGGAGGTATGGAAGGCCTAGCTGTCTCTTTGTTTTGGTTGTACTCCATATAGGGACCCCATGGGTGGTGTAAGCCCATGAACTTCTTACAGGGCCAAACCGCAACTCGGAGGAGGGAAGAGACTTCCCAACAGAAGCCTGGACCTTTAACTGTCGAGTGCACGCTGCTTCTTCTGCCCCCAGTAGCCTGGATGCATGGAGACAGGGGTTCAGTCATCATAGGACCCTCAAGTCCCTTCCACCACACGAGGAAGCACAGAAACCTCTAGATGCACTGAAGGAGGTAGAGACATCTCAGTATGAACATTGCTTTAAAAGGTCATGGTGGGCTCTGGCTCAATTGGAAACCATGAGCCATTTTCTGAGGCTGGTGCTATACACATACAGAAATCTATAGCTGTCTGAAAGCTGCTAGGTTCTTTTTCTCCATTTTCCCTTCTTCATACCACACAAAATGCTTGGGGCTCACTTGAGACCTAACATTTGTCTGTTTTGAGAATAGATGAGTATTTATTAGAATTAAACAGCTGGGGGCTCTGTGATATTTAGACGGGAATTAGGAGGAATGTATGAGAAGAAGATAATGCTGGCTCTTTTTTTCTGTAAACCAGTCTGGGCTTAGTGACTGAGGGGATTTCTTGGGTCTCCTGTGAGAACCAGATACAGTTAATTTCCTGCAAAAGCTGCGGGCTGGGCCGTGCTGATATTGCGGTGTTATTTAGAATAGAAAGGTCAGGCCTGAGATTGAATAATCATTGACAAGAAATCTATGGAGGATAGGAAGCAGTTGGTGAGCAGTGACTGAAACCTTGCCTGACTGCTCTCCCCTTCCCTTCCCTGCCTTCTTGGGTATCTGGCTGATTCTTGAGTTTGTTCATTATTCTTTCTGCAATGTGTCCCCCAAACCCTCAGAGCTAATAGGAAAGGTGTGTTGAGACACAGAGACAGCATCCAGGCCACCACTGGAGATAGGACACTCAGGCTTACAGGCTGAATGTACCTCTTCCAAGGTCATTTGCCTTGGGCACCTGTGCATGAATTTTTAAATAAAAACTGGTGGTTTTCTCTTCAACAGCTTAAAGCACTTTGTTCTCCACAGGGCATTTGGTTTTCTTTCCTGAATGATGTCTCAGCTATAATCTATGTAGCTCAAGTTTATATCTTGTCTTGAGTGTGAAGCCAAATGTAGGGGAGATTGGGAAGCACAAAGGGAAATCAGATGGATGGAAGATCACATGTCAGCCATGGCTGTGCTCTTTGAATATAGTATCTCATTGATCCTGAAACCCCCAGATCTCTGCTTAACAGATGAGGAAAAATGTCTCAGAAGGCTCAGCAAGGTTGAATGACTCATTCAAGACCTAGTTTCTGAGCAGAAGAACAAAGATTTGAAACCTAGAGATGTCTGGGTACCAAGCTGATGCTCTGTCTCTAAAATTTCCTACTCTCCACTATGCACTCTTTCTTTGTTTCGGTCTTCCTTGATTTTAACCCATTCACTATAGAACTTTTCTTAGAAGTCCATAGTTTCAATTAAAAAGCTTTTCTCTTTGCTAAAAACCATCAGTAGCCACTGAAAAGTCAGATCCCACAAATCAGATGGCCTAGGATCGTGTCCAACTTGGAAACAGGAAGAATGGGCCAGGGGACTTCTGAGCTTCCTTCTGAATATCAGATGCTATATAATTGATTGATTTTAGAATTAGATTTATTTATTAAAACTGTGGCCTTGGGATGATTCTTCAAACTTAGAAGTCTCCCATCTTGCTTAATTTGGGACCGTTAAGGGCACAGATAATACATCATCCTTCAGCCATCAAAATCAGTGTCAGAATTTTCTTTCTAGGAGTAGCTCCTAATCAAAGTAAGAGTCTTAACAGGGAATGTCGCTGACTTCTTGGCACAGTGGTCCTGGCCACAGTTGATCTGTTGCTGTCTTGTGTTGTCAGAGTGCTCTGGCATCTGGAGACACTTCCTGTAACGTCCACCAGTGCCTGGTTGGAGGAATCATGACAATAGTCTGGGTAAGAGGAAGGAACTGGGACAACAGCCTCCTCCCCAGGTTGCCCACGAACAGACACCAGATACAAGTACAAAGACCCTCAGTGTGGGATTAGATTACTGGGTCATGTGGTTTACCCTTGTTTATATAAATTCAGTTATTTCACTGAGACACAATTTGATCACTTTTCCCAAACCAGTTACAGAATAATGAATAGAAATATATAATTTGTTTTTATGGGTTTTAAAACACAGATTTTAAAACATAGTGCAAGATTTTAAAGCCCATGATCTGGTGGCTGGTATAAGGACTATAAGCTTAGAATCCTGACCTTTCTGTCCAGATTGGACTCCTCTTTCTCTTGAAAGAATTGAGGCAGCTCTGTACCTTGAGTGCATTTTATGACACTACAGACAATGCAGAGACTTATGTGGCTTTGACAGTTAATTTGTTTGAAAGCCCTGAGTTCTTTAGTACAGCAAAAATCTTTATTTCCTGAGCTCCTAGTCTTCCTCCAGGCAAGAGCTGCTTCCATTGTTCTACCTGTACCTGGACACAGGCAGTGAGGTGACTAGGATAATAGATACACAGAGCAAGAACTTACACATTCTGGAAGAAAGTAAAGGGTTGCAAGGTAGAGCAGTCAGCATTTTAGACTTGGAAAACAGACTCCCAGTTCCTCTGCTTTGTATCTTTGCATTTTCTAGAAAGTTGCTCAAAATCTGCTTCTGTCCCATCATTTGTGATGAAAATATTAATAGCACCTACTTAGGGCTGTTGAAAAATTAAATAAGTAAACATGCACAGTACTTAGATCTATACCTACTTCTCCAGAAGCCCAATGTGGAGACCTATAATTTCCTGCCTACTATGCAGCCATGCCTTCCAAGTACCTTTTCCAGTAGGAAGAAGCAGCCTTGAATCCACAAGAACCAATCACAGAAAACTAGTGGAAATTTCTTTCCCATCTCAGTCAGGTGAAAGATGCAAACTCCCAGGATCTCAGTCCTAGACATTTCTGGGCATGGGATTCCAGAAACAAACTTTCAGAAGTACTTTTCAGGCTGCTCTGGGGCATCATGAATGGGTTCGTTGTATGAACGTGAATTTATTGAGAATATGAGCCAAGTACTTCCTTGGACAATTTACTCCACAGTCTCCACATCTCAGTTTCGTCACCTACCCTGTTCTGCTCATTAGACTGCTATGAAGCTCCAAAGGAATGTTCCAGGATGTCTTTTAAAATGCCAGTAACACTAATATAACCATGATGATGGTTACACTCTCCAGGGTCATGGCCCTACTGTCGGATGGCAGTCCCCAGTGCAGAACGGCACTGGATCAGATGGATGACCTACAACACGAGCTCCCTGGCACAATCTGGCATCTTTTTTGCCTTTGATTTATCAGTGCAGATTTCTCTCCGTGTGACATCATAAAGGCAGGTTGTGTGACACCTTTACTGCCTGGCACAATGTCGAGCAGGTATAATCTTATGCATGCGGGTACAAGGTGCAGATATTCACCACTGGCTTCTCAACACAGGGTTTTTCAGCTGCAAAAGGCCACAGGTGCTGCCTAGGAAAAGTTGGACAGTGGGGTAGCTTGGCCTGAGCCCAGGGCAATAGCAGGATGGCCATGGCCCAGCCAGGTGGGATGTGTTTCTGCAACCCCTCACCTCCCCCTCTCCCAGTTTGCTCTGGTGGCTGCCATCCCCGAAGTTTATAGGTATCATTACCTATGAAAAATCTGTTCCATCTGAAGACAGTTGGGGTTGGGGATGGGTGGCAGATTGCAATTTAATGATCGGATTAAAATATGCTAAACCAAACAAATAAATAAATAAAAAGCCCAGCAGCCTGGAGCACCACAATTCATTCTGTGGGCAACAGAGGCTGGGGCTCCAGGGACCAGCTCATAATTCACCCCACAGGCAGGTTTAGTAGCCTGTTATTGTATGACCACAAGGAGAAACAACTCTCCAGGAAAGATTTACACTGAATGGCACTGGAGGCTGAAGGGCTAAGGGCCTCAAGGGGAGAGGGATGTGGGAAACTAACCGGTCCTGGGGCTGGGAAAAGGATCACCCCCAAACTTACACCAAAAGCAGAGGTTCTCACTTCCTGGCTCTCCACACCTCCTCAGAGCTGAGTCACTCACATGGATTGACAATGCCACTTGTCACCATGTAGGGTCATTTCTCCCTTCTTGCATCTTGTGAGACTAGGCTTTCCCCAGGGAGAAGAGTGTGGATTTCTCTTTTTTGCATTCCTATGTTTAGGCACAAAGTTGTTGCTCAATAAGCAAATGCTGGAAGGATGAATGCATGAACTGAACTATTATCTACTAGAGCCTGCATCCTTGCTAAGAGCCAGTCATCCCTCAGTATCCAAGGCTGTTTGGTTCCAGGACTCCAGCAGATACCCAAAGCCAAGGATACTCAAGTTTCTTGTATAAAATAGAGGACTATTTGCTTATAATTTATGTATATCCTTTTGTATACTTTAAAATTATCTCTAGATTACTTGTAATACCTAACATAAAGTAAACACTATGCAAACAGTTGTAACATTATATTGTTTGGGGAATGATAGTTTTAAAAAGGTCTGTACATGTTCAGTACACATTTAATTTTGTACAAAAATATTTTTGATCAGGGGCTGGGTGACCTGACAGATGGGAATCCACACGATGCGGAGGGACAGGTGTTCTTGGTGCGGCACTCTGGGGGAGGGAAGACAAGGTGGAAACACGCTGTCTGAGCACCCCTGGGCCATCTCTTCTACCTCTCTTGCCTCCTCGTTCTCCCAGGGGACATCTGTCTTCCCTCCTCGTTCTGCTGGCACAACCCAGTACCTGCCAGGTGCCCTTTTGCAATACCACTTTTGTGCCTACTGCTCCCTCTGCTTACAGCTCTCTTGGTCCACCACTATATACATAGCTAACTTGTCAGTTTGAGCTGATGAAGAATTCCTCACTAAGATACTGCTGTCTCTGTTGACTGATTCCCTTCTTTCTGTTGTAGAAGCTCATAGGACCCCATCTTTTGTGCACACGACACATCAGAATTGCAGCTTGAAGTGACAAATAGGTTGAGGTTGGATGCTCCTATTAGTCAGCACCTTGAGGGTAGAGAGTAGGTATTGTTATTTTTGTTTGTCATCCCCAACATCCAGAGTAATATGTATCTCACAGCAGGCTCCAAGGAAAAAGCTGGGGATTACCAAAATACTTCTCCCTAGGATCTCATCCTTTCCTATCAAGTAAACATCCCTGAAGCCCCCACCCCACCCTCTCCTATCACTCCAAGACCTGCTACCCTTTGCTTTCTGGTGCTACAGCAATAGGTCTCCCTAAAGCTAAGATGGGACCCTGTTAGGCCAGCTCCCCACCAGGCCGAGCATAGCTGTACATTGCTGCTGTGTTGGGAAGAAGAGAAGGGTGAGGAGTTCTGCCATCATCATTCATTTTCCCCCTTTGGGGAAACTTGTTTTCATGCACACTCAGCAAATGATGGTCTTGTACCAATAACAAATGTCAAATGCTCTGTTTGGGACTTAGGGGAGATGGAACATTAGCAAAGGAGGAGCAATGCAGTGAAAAGGACAGAATTTCTGTTTAAGGACAGAGAAGCCAAGTAACAAATGCCACTAGGAGACTCAAGGGATACAGCTGTGCAAAGAAAACTGCAGAAAAAAATAAATGTGTCCCCAACTACCTGTAATCAACATTGCACTTCCTGCTCACTGGAAACTACCTGGATCAGATCCTTAGGTCTTAATACTGTATTATGTATGGGTGACTGTCCTGGCTGGACAGAGTGTTAGGGAAATGGCAGGAGGAGCTGTGGGAGCAGCAGATGAAGCCTTGTAATATGACACTTTAAACAGCATTGCAAATAAAGACACTGCAGCTCCAGTCCATGGTGGTTTGGCTTATTGTGAATTTCTTTGTTCACTTATTCATTGAACAACTGCGAACCCAACTCCATGGTAAATGTGGGAGTAGTTGTTTAGTCTTCTCCTATACTAGTTTATAATTGGGATAACATCTTATTCACCTGCTAATTCCTACTGAATGTAAATGCTTGTGAACTGGCCTGAAATTAGGGTGCTCTCAGCTTACAAGGGAAGCAGAGGGTAAATGAGTAACTGCAACACAATTACTATGAAAGAGCGATACTGAGAGGCGGAGGCATGAGGATCATAAGTTTGAGCATAGCCTGGGCAACTTAGCATTATTCTATCTCTAAATAACAGATAAAAAGAGCTGGAGTGTAGCTCAGTGCAAAGGCCTTGGGCTTGATCCTCAGTAGCACAAAACATGGATGAGGGAAGAGTAAACAGAATGCTGTAGGGATAGCAGCCCTGAGCCCTGAAAGCCAGAAATGTGTTCTAGCACACTTGCTCGGAGAAGAAATACAGGGTTGGTTGCCAGCCGCCTGTCTGGTGATAGTTTGTGATGCCCAAGCCACAGCCCTCTTCTGACCTTCGGAAGACTCACAATCCTCAACAGAGGTTTTGCTGTCGGCACAGAGGAGGTACTGGGAACATGAGGCCAGTCCCGGGGAGGGGGTGCAGATTGTCTCAATAACACAGCAACGTGTAAAGAGGCAGGATTGCGACTAGGAATGAAAGAGCTGCTTTTATGTCATGGACAATCACGAGGCAATGCTCACTGGGGAACCATGAAAATAAATGGTTAATGTGATTGCTGAGGGCACAATCACTTGTTCTCTGAAGCCAGGTACAGAAGACTCTGCTTGGGCTCCCAGGCTATGTGGACAGGCAAGACGTCAAGGCTGTTCTGTTGTCTCTATTTACCGGTCTGTCCTTTCAAATGTACTTGAAACACCGAAAGCCTACTGTACCTGCTCCATTCTCTAAGAAAGTATCCAGAGGCCCTGCATTTGGAGAGCTGATTCCCAGTAGGCCACTGTTACTTGTGGTAAGAACTTAGAAAACCCTAATCTCCACTTAGGTTAGATTGGCTTAGAAGACTTGCAAAAAATCCAAGAACTAAAAGTGAGAGGGCAGAGATTCATTTGGGGGAGATTTTATATGTTGAGTTATTTTATGCAACCTCTCTTTATTAAGGTGAAATCTCTGTCTCCATGGGAGGAAGTGGCCTAAAAATAGAAGCAATGGAACAAAGTAAAAATTCAAGAAAGTATGACGAACATACCTTAATGACCTCCCAGTATTGTCCAAGACCAATTCTTCTTACCCCACTCCTAAGCATCAAATTTAAAGAATACTACAATTTATTAAACAGAGCCTGGGGTGTGTGGGTTGCCTGAATGTCTCTTCCTGTCAGCATTTGGTTAGAATACACAGCTTCATGGAATTCCTCACTCATTTGTTCTCACAGGCTTTTAGACTGTCTGTATAAGGTACAGGTGGGCCACACTGCATCAGGAATCCTGACTTCTCCCTTTCTCTTTCTTTTATGGCAACATAAGATGTACAAGGGAAACACGAGTGGGATTTCCTATGAAGGAATCTCCTACTATAGGAATGCAAGTCAGCTCATGGGTTATGCGTTTCAAAAACAGATTTACACTCAGGCACATTTTTGTCTGAGGGTGTGTGTGTGTGTGTGTGTGTGTGTGTGTGGGCTCTGGGCTCCAGTGGTAGTGGAATGGCATTTCCTGATGCAAATGGAAGGAAGCCTTGCTTTATTTGAGGTGTCCATTTATTCTTGGCTTAAGGTGGGGAAATATTTCAGTGACATTTTAACAAATGTAAGGCTACAAAAGACTCCTAGAAGGAACACATCCAGACTACTCTGTCCCTTGGAATTACTCACAGGGATTTTCAAGGAGAAATCGGATCAATATATTTTAATTTGTAATTTTGTAATCAAAATAGGAGCAGAGGAAAAGTGAATGAGATAGAAGACATATTGACTGAGTAGGGAGATGACAGGAATTTCCTCAGGAAGGGGAAGATCTTAGCATTCAAGCTAGATAGATTAAAAAAGGAAGAGAGAGAGAGAGAGAGAGAAGACGACAATATGATCATAGCAAACAGTTCTTATCAATGGAACTGAGAAAGATGAGAATATTCTAATTGCTACTAGTTCAGGGATGGCAATGTACATAGAGAAATATAGAGGAATAACTTAATAATAAAAACATTTTTATATTTACTTTATGTCAGATATTGTTCTAAGTGCTTTGTATATATTGACTCATTTAATCCAACATCACTATGACATATATACTAGTATTAACTCCATTTTATTGATAAGGAAGTAGAATCAGAGAGATTGAGCAGTTTATTCAAGATAGTAAGCAGTTGTGATAAAATGAGAAATAGGTACGGGATGAGTATTCTTTATCTGAAATGGTTGGGACTAGTAGATTCGGTATTTTTTAACTGTCAGAGTATTTGTACATAAATGGTGAGAAATCTTGGTTA